AAAGCAGAGTTTCTCAACCTTAGCACTACGGACATTTTGGGCCAGATAATGATTCTTTGTTGCATAGGCCGTCATGCTCTTTGAAAGGTGTTTAGCAGTATAGCAGGTTGAATAATTTTCTTCCAAAATTCATGTCCACCTGGAACCTCATAATGTGACCTTATTTGGAATAAGGGTCTTTGCAGAGGTGATTAGTTAAGGATCTCAAGATGAAATAATTCTGGATTTAGGGTTGGGTTGAAATTAAGATTGTTATTTGTCAATTAAGAAAAGAAGAGGAAGGCTCGGAGCCTGCAGCTCAGCGGCCAGGGAGCCAGCCACATACACCTGGGCTGGCGGGTTCGAAGCCGGTTTGAACCTGGCCCAGGCCTGCCAAACAGCAATGACAACTACAACAACAACAACAAAAATAGCTGGGCATTGTGCCGCTTGTAGTCCCAGCTACTTGGGAGGCTGGGGCAAGAGGATCACTTGAACCCAAGAGTATGAGGTTGCTGTGAGCTAAGATGCCACAGCACTCTACCAAGGGTGACCAAGTGAGACTCTGTCTTGAAAAAGAAAAAAAAGAGGAAATCTAATGACTGTGCCCTTAGAAGAAGGGAAGAAGAAGGCAGAGATGGGAGTGACGCAGCTACAAGCCACGGAAGGCCAAGGATTGCCAGGAGCCACCAGGAGCTGGGAAGAGTCAGGGAAGACATTTTCCCCCGATCCTTCAGAGGGAAGGATGACCTTATCAGCACCTTGATTCTAGACGTCTAGCCTCCAGACTGTAGGAGAATAAATTTCTCTTGCTTTTGTGGTAATTTATTATAGCAGCCTCAGATATTGCCGAATGTCCCCTAGGAGAAGGGGACAAAATAGGCCCCACCAACTTGTTGAAACTCTCTCCTTAATGGGGTGGATATGATGAAAAGACAGAGCAGAGTAGGATAAACCCGGGTTTGAATTTCGGCCTCGCCCTGGAATAGCTAAGTGACTACGTGACCTTGGGTAAGTTGCTCAACTTCTCTGAACCTCAGTCCTCATGAATAAAACTCCTCCTAATGGAGGCACCTGCATCTCACAGAATCATCAGGCTGATGAAGCCAGATAATGTGTAGAACGTGCTTAGCACAGCGTTGGCCACACAGCTGACACTCAATAGATAGGAACTGAAACAATGGTTGTCCTAAGTGTCTGTATTAAATAATAATAATATTGCCTACTTGGTAATAAATACATTAAGAAATAACAATGGCAATTATCATTATTAAAGCCTGCAAGCTGGCTTAGTTTTTCACTTAATAATCCACCTCGGGCTGCTTCCAAACAGGGGCAGTGGCTCCTCCCAGATGGAGGAGGTGTTGGGGTGTCATACTTTCTACATTACTACTTCTTACACCATCCCATTTAAGCCTGATAGTATCCTCGTAAGACACAAAGGGTAGCCACCTAAAATGTGTCACCCTTGTTTTACAGAAGTGGAATCTGAGGGACAAAAACATTAAGTGACTTACCCAAGTTTAACCCACCAGTAGCTAAGCCAGGGCTGGAGCCCTAGGCCATTAAAACACAATCTGCTTCTGACTCCCCTACTTCCAAAAGACCCTCTTCCCCACTTCTTTTAGACACCTGGTACCACTCTCCTCACAAAAACTTCAACAAAAATGCTTATAGCCTACAGATTTTTTGGGGGGGAGGGTGTACTTTTTTTTTTCTTGAGACAGAGTCTTGCTCTGTTGTCCATGCTAGAGCACAATGACATCATCACAGCTCATTGCAACCTCAAACTCCTGGGCTCAAGCAATCCTCTTGTCTCAGCCTCCCAGGCAACTGGGACTACTGCACGCAGCTCATTTTTCTGTCTTTCGTAAAGATAGGGCCTTGCTCTTGCTCAGGCTGGTTGCAGATTCCTGACCTCAAGCAATCCTCCCACCCAGCTTCTCAAAGTGCTAGGATTACACGTGTGAGCCACGTTGTCTGGCTGAGTTTTAATAATATATTTTTCCACTTCAAACTGGCAAATTCCTTCCTGGAAAATTCACAGCCAGCCCACGATACATACAGACTCAACTACACTTACTCATTTTGAGAATAAGTTCCTATGGGTTTAGAAAAGTTTGAGCTTTCTTTGGGTAAAGTTTCCATCTCCAGCCCCTGTGGTACAACATATTTTTGCATTTGCAGAATGGACTCAAAATCAGCAATGATAACACAGAGATTGTAAAGACAAAGAAATGGGCCTTGAGTTACTTCAATTTTGTTATTCCATGTGACTGTTTGGAATTTTAATTTGTGTTTAAAATTTAAGGCAGTGATAGCATCAATCCAACTGATTGGATTGATGAATGAGTGAATAAACAAATGTGGTACAGACAAATATTATTCAGCCCTAAAGAGGAAAGGAATTCTGACACATGTTACAACATGGGTTAACCTTGAAGAAATTATGCTAAGTGAAACAAGCCTGTCACGAAAAGACGAACAGTATATGATCTCACTAATACAAGGTACGTAGAGTAGTCAAATTTACAGAAACAGAAAACAGAATGGTGGTTCCTGCAGCTGAGGTAGGGAGTAGAGAATAGGTATCAAGGCCACGGATTGGGTACCAGTTCACACATCGGGAAGCTGGCAGTCAGCAAGCTGGAGAAGCTTCATCTGTATTTACAGCTGCTCCCCACTGCTTGCCTCCTTGTCTGAGCTCCACCTCCTGTCAGATCCCTGTCATCTCTCCCCTGTAATCCATGGAAAAATAGTCTTCCATGAAACCAGTTCCTAGTGCTAAAAAAAATTGGGGACTGCTTGCATAATGAGTATAGAGTTTCAGTTTTGCAAGATGAAAAAGTTCTAGAGATTGGCTACGCAACAACGTGAACATACTTAATGCTACTACACTGTGCACTTAGAAGTGGTTAAGATAGTAAATTCTATGCTATGTGGGTTCTTTTTTTTACCACATTAAAAAAGTGTAAAGCAGTGAAACAGAGTGTGAACAGCAAGATGTAATGTTTTTGTTCAGTAAGTACAAATTTATTCCATGCAATATGTTACTAAATTCAAATAATATCTTGAACATTGAAATTAATTATTGGTGCTGGTTTGGGTTCTCCAAGCCACAATGAAACTAGATATAAAGAGATTTATTTACTGGAGAACCCAGCTAATGATGAGCAGGACCAGATGCATGGTCACCTGCTGCCTCATGGTCAAGTGTTCTATCCCTACCAGGGTATGGTAACAGGGCAGGAGTTGTTTTTCTTTTTTCTTTTTTTTGTTTTTTGAGACAGAGCCTCAAGCTGTCCCCCTGGGTAGAGTGCTGTGGCATCACAGCTCACAGCAACCTCCAACTCCTGGGCTCAAGCGAGTCTCCTGCCTCAGCCTCCCAAGTAGCGGGGAACCACAGGCGCCCACCACAGTGCCCAGCTATTTTTTGGTTGCAGCCGTCATTGTTATTTGGCGGGCCTGGGCTGGATTCAAACCTGCCACCTTAGGTGTATGTGGCTGGCGCCTTAGCCATTTGAGCCACAGGTGCCGAGCCAGGAGTTGTTTTTCAAAAGGTGTATAATTCTCTGCTGTGGATTGCATGATCTTGTTCCAGAATCCTGGGGTCTGGGTTATGATTCTCCCACTAGGTCACTGGATTTTGCTTTAAGTGTCCCGCTGCACCTTTCTCCACCACCGACACCTCTAACACTGGAGGGTCTGTTGTATCATACTGTCCAATTGGCAGGGCTGTTTGCACCAAAGCCTGGACTTGCTGCAAGCTCTTTCTTGGTCTGGGTTCGTTTGGGGCTGGCACCTGTTTGTGTCACCTGGGGACATTTGTCTTACTTGCGATATGGGCATGTTAGATATTCCTAAATGTAGTCTTCACTGCTCCCAGAGCCCAGAGAAGCCTAGCAGCAGAGAGAGGGTAGTGGCAGGGCTCAGCCTTTCTGCTACCATCTTCAGTAATTCTACTCTGGCCCCAAACTTGTGCACCCTATGCAGCCAAACCAAAGCCCTCCTTCAGAGTCTAGCGACTACCCATTGATGTTAACTCACGTCCCTTGTAAGGAGAGGGAGCTGACCCCTAGCCTAAGCAATTTGGCACAGCTTGCTTTCTAACCACATCCAAGGCCCACTCTCCCTAAGAAGTTTGCACATCCTGCCCTCTGTGCTCTTCCAGCTTCCCCTGTTGCCTGGCTGATCCTTGCCATGTGTCAGATCAGGGTAGAAGTTAACAGCATGAACTTTGGGTTCCACCAGAGCTTGGGTCTGTTCCTGTGTGGAAAGGAATCTAAGCAACTGTATTCCTGGGTTTCCTGATCCTCAATGAGATGACAACCGGTAACCACGGCGTGAGGCGAGGTGTCCTTACCCTCATCACCCTAAGTTGAAACTACTTGTTTGGGGGCAGTTTCCCTCATTTCATTGGAAGCTCCTTGGGGGCCACAGGGCTATTTTCCACACATCTCTCAAGATACTAAGGACGTAGCAGATATCCAGTGCCTATTTAGGGATGTCTTCTGGATTTACACCCATGTTATAATCACCCACATTTTTTTTCTTCCAGAATTGCAGGATGTTGATATCTGAGAGCATGTATGACGTTCCAGGTGGGGAACAGAGCAGGGGCCTCACAGGGAGGCAGAGAAAGGAAGACACTTTTATAAATTGTACTAACTTTCTGGGCCTCAGTTTCTTGGTTTGGAGAATGAAGAGAAAATAGATACTATTATCAGGTTGTTGTAAGGACTTTCATAAAACCTGGTGAACAGTGTGCCAGGGACCCAGTAAGGTTGAGTAAACAGTAGCTGCGATAATTACGTCTTGCTAAACAAGCGATCGCCACCGTTTAGGCGCGTCTAGGTCAAGGCCCGCTGCCCAGCTGGAGTCAGCGCGGAAACTGGCGGCGGGAGGCTGCGCCCGCCGCCGGAAGCTCCGCCCCGCACGCGTCCCGTCGCCCGGGCAACGCGCCGCCGCGCAGCCCGCTGGTTCGCAGGCTGAGTGACAGCGCTGCAGCTAGCGCCCGGCGCTCCTGCGCACACCAGGCACAGACGAGGGCCGCTTCGGCAGAGCGATGACTGATGATGACAGCGACAGCGTCCAGACCGACCCCGCGATCGGGGAGGAGAGCGAGCTGCCTATTATCCAGCTGTGCGGGCTGGTGGAGGAGCTCAGGTAGCCGCCGGCGGCTTCTGGGGGCCGCCCCTTCACATCCCGGGCGCTCTGCCGGGGGTGGCCTCAGACATGGGGTCCCGCATGGAGAAGATTCAAGCCTGCATTGAACACTGGGGAAGTCTTTGTCTCTCTACCTCTGGCGTTTCCACCAACACTGAGCTAACAAGCCGATGATGGAGCCAGAGCAGGGTGGAGGGGTGAGGCTGATGGGGCTGGGGACGGGAAGGCCCAGAGGGTAAGGGGGACTTCAGCCTAGCGGGTCTGTCTGGTGCTAAGTGGTGTGCTTAGCCTTGCCCCTCTCCTGCACCAGCAGGTTGGACCAGGACTTCTAAGCCCCTTTCCAATGCTAAGATTCTATGATAAAATTAGTATGCCAGCAGAATACAGAGGGCACCATGGAGATGATTTTATTTTATTTTATTTTTTTGAGACAGAGCCTCAAGCTGTCGCCCTGGGTGGAGTGCCATGGCATCACAACTCATAGCAACCTCCAGCTCCTGGGCTCAAGTGAGTCTCCTGCCTCCGCCTCCCAAGTAGCTGGGATTACAGGCGCCCACCACAATGCCTGGCTATTTTTTGGTTGCAGCCGTCATTGTTGTTTGGTGGGCCGGCTGGATTCGAACCCACCAGCTCAGGTGTATGTGGCTGGCGCCTTAGCCGGTTGAGCCACAGGTGCCAAGCCTGGAGATGATAGTATGAGGCAACAAATGCCTGAACCAGATGTGAGTGTGGAGACGGACGGCAAAGAAAGGCTGTCCCAACAGTCTGCACTTTTGAGAGTCTATTTTATATCAAGTATGGCAAGTAAATGGGATATCAAGATCCCATGATGTAGGTAAGGTTGGTTGTACAAATTATGGATCTCACACAGAATATCCTGGCTCTGGCAGCTGAATAGACCTATACATCTATACATAGTTTTAGGTCAGAACTGAGGCATTACTACAAATAGCTCCCATTTTTGAGTACTTATTATATACCATGAACTTTACATATATGACCTCATATAATGGCGTCTGCAACCCTAGGAGGTGGGCAAGGAAGCAAAGACACAGTGTAAGTCACTTCCCTAAGTTCAAACAGCTAGTCGGTGGTAGTGCTGGGATTCAGACTCAGGTCTGATGCCACAGACTACACCTGGAACCTGGTATGTGCTGAAGAAGCAAGATACTGTGATATAGTATGCTTTCCATTTAGCCTTTTTGACTAGTCTTAAAATTTAGCCAAGCAGGAATTAGCTCAATAACATATGAAAATATCAAAGCCATTCTCTCTCATGCACACACATTCACACACATGTATGTGTGTGGTTGAGAAATGAAGAGGTTAAAAAGGTCATGATCTTGGCATATCCAGGATGAACGAGGTTTTGTCATCTCTAGTTGTTTAAAAACCATTTGTCCATAGTTTAAAGAAACTTCTGGTGGGTACTTTCATCTGCTGAGAGCTGGAAATAAAAGACCCAAGAAACACGAACCAAAGGAAACATCTGAAGATTGTAGGTATCACTTCAAGAATATAGTAACTCAGAAATAATTTCACAAATGGGTTAGATGAAGTGTGTCCAACTTTTGGCTTCTCTGGTCACATTGGAAGAAGAGTTGTCTTGAGCCACACATTAAATACACAAACACAAATGAAAGCTGAAGCAAAAAAAAAAAAAAAAGTCTGTGTATAATTTTCTTAACAGCCGCCACCAAAGATTAGCAAAAAAGTCCTCGTGTAACAATCCTAATTATGCAGCGGCCCTTTCAGAGAAATTGTCCAGCAGATCCCAGCAGTCATTAATATAGAATATGTACATATCTAAGTAATAAAACATATTTGTTTCATTGATATTTATTGATTTTTTTATTACCAAAGTAAAAGAAAAGTAGGCAACACAGTATCAAAGTGGGATATTTGACATTGTATCTGAGAAACTAATTTATCAGTATCTGGTCAGATGGAAGTAGTTGCAATTCTCAGTGAGTTCTTAAAGTGCTTGTCAGATATTTTTTTTGTTTTGTTTTGTGTGTTTGTTTGTTTGTTTTGCCAGGGCTGGGTTTGAACCTACCACCTCTGGCATATGGGGCGGGCGCCCCACTCCTTTGAGCCACAGGCACCACCCTTGTCAGATATTTTGATTCTAACTTTTAATGTGCTTCATTCTTGAAAATGTAGGCACTGCCAAATGCAATGACATGAACAAGGCATGATTGTGAAGTGAGGGATATTTGTCTCTGGGAAGACAGGACCTATAAAAGTTCAGTAAAGAGATATGATCAAATTTTTCTTTAAGTTGAATGTCAGATGGCAGCTCTATGAATTCCATCTGAAAATTGGCAGGTAACATAATTTATGTCAACTGAAAATAGAGTTTCCAATGCACCAAAATATTCATTATTTTGTGGAAATATTAAAATCTGTTTTCAAATTCTTGTATCAAATTGAAAAGCAAGACTGCATATTTTTTGTTGTTCACAGGACTATGTTTAGCCAACATGTTGAAATACATAAAATTATTTGCCCTAATTTCAGTTTGACTGGGGGAACTGTTATTGTTTGAAATATTGTATTGGATAATTGGTTTTCTCCTAAAAGACACATTTTTAACTCATTTTAATGAATGGTTAAATTCATGAAACATGCTAAATCTGCAAGCCAGTTTTCATCAACAAGTTCTGGCTTGATGGTTTTTCATACCATAAGCAACTTGATACCATGTTGCAAATCATGAAATATTTTCAACATTTGTCCTCAACTTCCCCATCTTACTTCCACAAAGTAAATGATGTCACCTAGTTAGCATTAATGCTTTTAAGGAATTCCTGGAATTATTCAATGCTTCAATTATTTGGCCCTTATGAAATTCACAGTCTTAATGACTATTTGTGTGACGTTATCCATTTTTAAACCTTTTGTGTATAAATTTTCCTTATGTACTATGCAATGATACTTCCTCAAATATGACTTTGGGTATCTTTTATTAATTTTATAAGTCCCTCTCTTACTTACCAAAGCTGGGGCACCGTCAGTAACGATACCAGATATGTTGACAATGGATAAAGAAAATTGCCCCAACATATTTTTACTGCTTTGTATAAATTTCTTGACTTAATTATGTCTTTTCATGACATGAAAGAAGCTATTTCTTCAGTGACATTATATTCATCATCAATACCGCCAATAAAAGTGGCAAGTTGAGCTGTATTTGTAGCAGCAGTGCTGTCATCCATCGCCAGCACATAAAATTTAAAATTAGGCGCTTTACTCGCTATACTTTTTTCTATAGGTTTTCCAATTTCTTCTTGGCTATAGTGTGGGAAGACAAACTGATTTTGTTCAGGTCAAATGATATCTCCCATGCTTTCCATATGTTGCTTAATAAACTCACTATCGGTAAATGGTTTTAAGTTTTTGCTATTCAATATGCTACCACATAACTAGCTTTTACAATGGAATCCAGCTGAGCTGTAACTTTAAGAAAAATTCTGTTAAGAAGACAAACTTTTTTCAATTCTGCTATTTTGTTCTTATGACACAATCCTTCATATGCATGAATTTGGTGGCATGTTTGGGGATATAATACCTTTTTAAATGATAGTCTTTGAAAACTTGCATAAATTCCCTACATATTAAACAGAGTGCCTCACTATTTGCCTTGATAAAAAAGTAGTCATCTGTTCACTTTTCATTGAAACATCTTCATTAATAAATTTTTTCTTTTGGGGGGTTCTGTTTCTTTTGAGATGTTGTAGAAGTCATGCTGGGATTAAAAAAAAAAAAATAGGCTCAGCGCCTGTGGCTCAAGTGGCTAAGGCGCCAGCTACATACACCTAAGGTGGCAGGTTTGAATCCAGCCCGGGCCTGCCAAATAACAATGATGGCTGCAACCAAAAAATAGCCGGGTGTTGTGGCGGGCGCCTGTGGTCCCAGCTACTTGAGAGGAGAGGCAGGAGACTCGCTTGAGCCCAGGAGTTGGAGGTTGCTGTGAGCTGTGATGCCACAGCACTCTACCCAGGGGGACAGCTGGAGGCTCTGTCTCAAAAAAATAAAATAAAATAAAATAAAAATAGATAAGGGACTATATTTACTGTCATTATGAAAATTAATTGACAGGGAAATAGAAAGCAAGATTTGTGCCTTTCCATATCTTGGCTGCCAAGGCAGGGCAAGGCAGAGGGCCAATGGTAAAGTGTGGCAGGTGACATGTGAGGCACCACTGAGGTGTGGCAGTATCTTCATAATCAAATAAGAATGCTAACCTGACTTCTAAATGACATTCAACGTCTAACATTGCAATGGTAGATTGAAATCTTATTGCTGGGCGGTGCCTGTGGCTCAGTAGGTAGGGCACTGGCCCCATAGACCGAGGATGGTGGTTTTGAACCCGGCCCGGCCAAACTGCAACAAAAAATAGCTGGGCGTTTTGGTGGGCGCCTATAGTTCCAGCTACTGCAGAGGCTGAGGCAAGAGAATCGCCTAAGCCCAGGAGTTGGATGTTGCTGTGAGCTGTGACGCCACAGCACTCTACCAAGGGTGATAAAGTGAGACTCTGATTCTAAAAAAAAAAGAAAAAAAGAAATATTTTTGCTAACTGATGCCTTGCCAAGTCACCATGAGCACACATAAAATCTGATGGTGTCAATGTGACTATCTATGCTTGGAAGGTGACACCCTGGAAGCCACACATGTGTAGAAATAGTGAGAGTGTACGTCTGCTTATTTTACATGACATTATAACACAACAGCATCGTCTACAAAGTACATGTTTCAAAACTGTGAAGTTGAGTTCCACCAAAAAGTCTCATAATGCTTTGAAGTAAGTTTAAAATTTTGTGTTGGTCCACATTCACAGCCATCCACAGCCACAGGTTGGATTACATGGAGAAAATGAAACCTGTACAAATACTTTTCGATGTAACGCCAGTGCTATGAATTTTGTGACTCATTAAATATATTAGTAAAAGTGTCAAATACTTAAATAGCACTTATCATGTGCCAGGCTGTATGTATATATTCTGTCCTGAAGTCTATACATTCCTTATGATAACCCCAAAAGGTAGGTTCTGTTATTATTCCCATTTTATAGTTGAGGAAACTAAGGCACCGAGTGGCTAAGTGTCTTGCAGAAGGTCACGTGTGGCTTATAAGTGTTAAATACTAATTCTTTGGAATTTAAGCTCCTATTGGTAGAACTTACTCAGGTACCCTCTGTCTTGCAGCTATGGAAACTCTGCTCTCAAAATTGAGACAGAGATGTTTGAGAAATATTACACTAAACTGGAGCCCAGGGATCACCGACCTCCACGCTTATCAGACGTTAAAATGTCAGCGGCAGAATATGCACAGGTACCCAGAATAGATCCAGAAAATCATTTGATTGTTGTCCCCTTAAATGCAAGCGGCATTAGTGCATCTGCCCTTGATGTGCCCTCTTTGCCCAAGTGGCCGCCAAGATACTTTCTCTCTGTTCTGCTTTTGATTCTTCTTTCCCCTCTAAGGTTTATTTTTCAAGGAAGTATAAAGGGAATTAGGTTCAATTAATAATAGGTTGACTCTCCCAGAATATCTTAGTTTATATGAAAGAATTCCCTTAGGGCAGTGCCTGTGGCTCAAAGGAGTAGGGCGCTGGCCCCATATGCCGGAGGGGCCGGTTCAAACCGACCCCCCCCCACCCCCCACCCGCCAAAAACCTAAAAAAAAAAAAGATTTCCCTTAAATTGGAACTCAGCTGTTTCCAAGGCCCAGCCAGCCAAGTAAAGGCAAGAAGTGGGCCTGTTGTGGGCCCTGGTCTTAAAGGGCTCATACACGTAGGTCTATGCTTTGAGAGCCAAAGATACCCGCTTTCAGGCCCACACATTCCCAACGTCACCACCACTTGTGACGTTGCCCTTAAAATACACAGAAAATCGAATATTTTCACTTCTTTATCTATTTTGCTGAGCACTGTGCTACTAGATGCAATTTTTCTTTTGTGTTCAGTTTGGGAAGCTCTGAGCTTCCCCTGACTTTGACTTGAGTGTTGGTCTCCAGTGAGTTCAGGCTTTTCACCCTGGAGACATTTTCCCCTTATTCATTTTTAGTTCATCCTAACACAAGCCTTTGAATGAAGTACTTAGCACAGAGCCCTAGTCTGACTTGTGAAATAACCGTCACCTCCGGCCTAACAGCCCACATCCTTTTCCCCATGAGTTTGTTCTCCTGACTGTCCTGCAAGGGGGTTTCTAGCAGGTCTGAGGGATCATTCTGTTGCCCACCTTGGGCCCCTGTATTTCCAGTTCCTCTTTGACAATGGCTTTGTTTATGCTGGGTTACAGTTGCGGGCCAGGCGTAAATCCAAAGCCCGCTCAGGTTTGGAACGTTCGCTAGGCCTCACCATCGACCAGAAACTTGAGCTTATACAAAAGGAGCTGGAAGACACAAAGGATGAGATAAGACACATGAGGGCAAACGCTGAGCGGGACCTGCAGCACCACGAGGTACACTGGCTGCCTTCTCCCACCCGCGCTCCCCACTGCCGCCCAATCAAAAAGAACCTACTGTGTGTTGGTATAACTGTTATTCTTTCGCAAGAAACATGGATGAGACAAATCAGGGCCTTTAAGGAATGTACCACCTACTTGAGGAGAAAACAAATCTGAAACCTTTTGAAAAGGGACGATTTCAAACAAATGTAGAGAGGCCAGCACAATGCACTCGTGTGCCTCAGCCCCCAGATGCAGCAGTTACCACCATATGGCCACTCTTGTCTCATCCATGTTCTGGCCCACTTTCCCCTTATCCCACTGGCTTATTATAAAGCAAATTTTAGACGTATTATTTATCTGTAAATATTTCATTCTATGTCTCTAAGATATGAATTCCCTACAGAACATAATCAGAATAACCTTAAATGCCCTTAAAAATTTATAATTCCTTAATAGTAAAAGGGGTTTGAGGTTTGAGTCAGTGAATTGGATGGAAAAGACCTAAGTTGCTATTTTTATGTGCTATGCACGCCCATGGTCCATGTCCTGCTGGAGACCTACCTGGCACACCATAGCGAGTCCATTGTCAGTTTCCTCCAGTGGAGAAACATCACTGTTAAGTCATCTGCCCCTGGGATGAAGTTGTAGCTTGCATCTGAGAGTCCTGTTACCTAAAAAATAGATACTTCTGTTCTAGTGAATTTTTTCAGTTTTTAGTTTCTAAATGTGGGCACAAACAGAATCACAATCCTTGATGCAAAAGGGACGTGAGTGAACTCATGTCCCCCATTGATAGAACTACTGTTATCACATAAACCAATCCCGCCCTCTCTCTTTCCCTTCATTCCTCTCTACCCACTTCATTCCTCTGTCTTTCCAAACACACTGTGTTGAGGTCTAGCAAGTTAAAGGAGCTTAGGGTGTGGTACCATTGCCCTGGATGTGTGATGTAAATGTTGAGTGTAGAGAGAGATCAGTGTGGACCACAGTGGTCAAGACTTTGTTGAGGAGGTGGGGCTCCACATGGGACTTGGCATGATGTTAAAGAATGATGGCATTTGTTTAAGCCATAGGGAAAGAAGGGTGCCCTAGGTAAGGAGAATGACATGAGCAGGAAAGTGGAAGTGGGCCTGAGCATTGAGGGCATTGAGGAGGCCAGTATAATTAGAGAAGCGGGTGCTTTGGGGGCCGTATTAGAAGTCAGGTTGAGCAGGGAAACAAGACCTTGACAATCAGGCAGAGGAGTCTACCTTTGATATCTTAGAAAGCTGGACCTCACTGAGGATCCGTGAGCAGGAGGGTGACTGGAAGGCAGCGTTTCAGGTGGGTTGATGTTCCAGTATACAGAGATAATGGGCTGAGAAGGAACTAGAGCCCAAGGCTGTCCAGTGAAGATGCCTGTCCTTCTCGGTGTCCAAGAACAAGCCTGAACTAGGGTGATTTGGTGTGTGGCTACAGACACATTCTCATTTTATTCTTTAAAATTATTTGTGTGAAAAAATAAAATTGTGTGTGTGTGTGTGTGTCTGTGCTTATTTCAAGGCAATCTATGTTTTTTTAGGACAGTTAAGCTTAAAGAATATTTGAAAACATCTACAATGATACTCCTGGGAGTATCAATCACTATTGACCTTTGCATTTATCTCCTTGTAGAATATAGATAATTTTCTATGTACATATGAATTTCTTTTAAAAAGAGGTACCATATTATTTTATAAGGCATATTTTTCACTTGACGAGGTGAAAGTGTCTCTCCAAGTCAATACAAACATTCATTTTATAACTTTTTCTTAAGAGAAAGGATCTCACGATGTTGTCCAGGCTGGAGTGCAGTTGCTATTCGCTATAGCCTTGAACTCCTGGGCTCAGGTGGTCCTCCTGCTTCAGCCTCCTAAGTAGCGGGGACTACAGGTGCATACCACCACACTCAGCTTTATACCATATCTTTTTGCTTTAAGTAATAGAAGTATTTAAGAGTGCTTCTTACCTTCTCACCGATTCATCTCAGTGAGATGAATAGATCTAAGTGTGGTTAATGTTTTGATGTATATACCTCCAGATTTTTTTTTTTTTTTTGAGTCTCACTCTGCTGCTCCAGGCTAGAGTGCCATGGCATCAGCCTACCTCACAGCTGCCTCAAACTCCTGGGTACAAGCATCCCAAGTAGCTGGGAGATGGGAGTCTGCCATGATACCTGGCTAGTTTTTTCTGTTTTTATTAGAGATGGGGTCTCACCTTTGCTCAGGCTGGTTTCAAACTCCTGAGCTTAAGGGATCTACCTGCCTCAGCCTCCCAGAGTGCTGGGATGACAGGCATGAGCCACCACACCCAGCCATCTTCCAGACATTTTAAATATAATTTTTAATGGATAAATAACATTTTAAATATCTAAATACATGTTTTTAGAGGTGCCTGAAACCCCTATTTCATTGCTTTGCTTTTCTTAATGGATACTATTTTTTTTTTTTTTTGAGACAGAGCCTTAAGCTGTTCCCCTGGGTAGAGTGCTGTGGTATCACAGCTCACAGCAACCTCCAATTCCTGGGCTCAAGCAAGTCTCCTGCCTCAGCCTTCCAAGCAGCTGGGACCACAGGTGTCCACCACAACACCTGGCTATTTTTTTGGTTGCAGCCATCATTGTTGTTTGGCGAGCCTGGGCTGGATTCGAACCTGCCACCTTAGGTGAATGTGGCTGGTGCCTTAGCCACTTGAGCCACAGGCACTGAGCCAAAGGATACTATTTTTGAGGCATACTTTTTAATAGAAATATTCATTTAGTCAAGTTTGTTTCTTTTTTTAATTTTAATTTAATTTTTATTTTTTTATTTTTCGCAGTTTTTGGCCAGGGCTGGGTTTGAACCTGCCACCTCCTGCATATAAGGTCAGCGCCCTACCCCTTTGAGCCACAGGCACCACCCCTCCGGTTTGTTTCTTAATGATATCTTTTTAACACTAAGAAGAAGCATCATGCATTAGGACACAAAGAGGCCTGGGAACTTAGATTTCCTTAGAGGATATATGTACATATTCTTGAGGAAATTTGGAAACTCTCTTATTTTTGTGCTGACTTGCCCAGGCTATCATCGAGGAAGCTGAAATTCGATGGACTGAAGTTCGGAGGGAAATCCATGAGTTTGAAAAAGACGTTCTAAAAACCATATCCAAGAAGAGAGGGAGTATTTTGGCCACTCAGAAAGTGATGAAGTACATTGAGGACATGAACCGCCGGAGGGTGAGTTGGCAGGCAATTAGTGTTTGGAAAGGGGGGTAGATTCACACAAGGATGACACGGAATTACCCATGTGAGGCGGCCTAACTCCACTTGCTGCCATATGCGGATTGTTCTGCATTCCTAAAATTGTATGTGTATGTGCACATTTTCAAACGCAGGCTTAGCAAGGCTAAACTCAGCCAGGCAGGATGCATATTAAGTAGATTGACTTCCTTTTTATTGCTGTTATTTGCCTCGAGATCTGATGTATTTTCATTCAAAAGGTGTGAGGCTAGGTCTGTGTAGAGGAAGCAGGTGAATCTCAAGCTCTTTTGAGTTCCCTTATGATAAGGAGATGGACCTTGGGCAGGCCTGGGGAAGGAAGAAGGGAGGCACTCCACTTCCAGAGATCTTACAGATGCTGGGTTTGGGATCCTGGAGACAGTTAAGATACTAACTCTATCATGCTAAGAGTAATAGAAATTACATGAGTTACTATGAGAATAGGGCCCCTACAGTAGCACACACTCAAATAATCTTGAATTTAAAAGCAATAGAAAATATGCAGGGAGCAGACTCAGTTTCTTCTGCTTCTTGATCATGAGTGAAATGTCCTAGCAGCACCAGCCTGAGCAGAAGTAAAAGAACTTGACATAAGTGAGTGGATGTTACGGCTCAAGCTTTGGTTTGCAGCCTTAGACTTGCCAATTTCCCAAAGCAACAGGGAAAAAGAAGGTAAATGGATTAAAAGGACTAAAATATGCCTTTATTTTCCAGGATCATATGAAGGATAAATTGCGTTTGAAAAATGTTTCTCTCAAAGTTCAGAGAAAAAAAATGCTTTTGCAATTGAGGCAGGTATGTGATGTCGTTCTTTCTCACTCTCCTATTATTATAGCAGGCTGAACAACAACCCCTGCAAAGATGCTCACATCCTAATCCCTGGAATCTGTGACTGTGTTCATTTATACGGCATGAAGATTTTGCAGATGTGATTAAGTGAAGGCTCTTGAGGAGGGGAGATGATCTTGGATTACCTGGGGGGGGGGCAGTGTATTCTCCCACTTTATAAGGAGGAGGCAGGAGGGTGGGAGAAGATATGATTTTGAAAGCAGAGATCAGACCCTTCAGAAGGAATGCAGCCTACCAGCATCCTGATTTTAGCCCCCAAACCATTTCAGACTTCTAACCTTGAGGACTGTGAGATAAATTTGTTTGATTTTTGAGACAGAGTGTCACTATGTCGCCCTCTGTAGAGATAGAGTGCTGTGGTGTCACAGCTCACAGCAACCTCAAACTCTTGGGCTTAAGCGATTCTCTTGCCTCAGCCTCCCAAGTAGCTGGGGCTACAGATGCCTGCCACAGCACCCGGCTATTTTTTGTTGTAGTTGTCATTATTTTTTAGCAGGCCTGGACCGGGTTCGACCCTCTAGCCTCAGAGTATGTGGCTGGCACCCTAACTACTGAGCTATGGGCACTGAGTCAATTTGAGTTATTTTAAGCCACTAGGTTTGTGGCAATTTGTTACAGCAGCCAACAGAAACTAATAGAGTTATTATGTAGGCAGGAAGGGGTTTTCTGTAGATGAGTTGGCTTGAATTGAAAAGACTGTGGCTCAAGGAGTAGGGCGCCAGGGAGTGGTGGGTTCAAGCCCATCCCCAGCCAAAACTGCAAAAAAAAAAAAAAAAGAAAAAGAAAAAGAAAAGACCCTCATGACATACTTGTTGACCTTTTTGGGGAACGCTGCCTGGGTGGCACAGTTAGACTGAGTTTTGGTGAGTCTTTCACCAGCTGACCCTAATGGCTCCTGATTAGAGGCAGATGTGACTTAGGACCTCTAGAATGTAATACATGGCTCTGTATTTTCCCAGCTCAAATTTATTATTATTATTGTTTCAGGTTAATTTGAAGGTACAAAGAATTAGGTCACAATGTTTGCATTTGTTAGGTAGAGTCCCTCTTTTAATTGTGTTCCACCCCCAAGAGGTGTGCCATGCATCCTAATGTTGTGCCCATTAAGTGGGAGCACAGCCATCCTCCTACCTCCTTCCCTCTCCCTGATACCTCGTTCCCCCACCCCTCACCTTCACTTTCTCTTATGTGGGTGCGTGTTAGACCATCTACTGGCTTCATATTAGTATTGAGTACATTGGATTCTTGCTTCTCCATTCTTGTGATACCTTACTGAGAAGAATGTGTTTCAACTCCATCCAGATTAACACAAAAGATGTAAAGTCTCCACCTTTTTAATGGCTGAATAGTGTTCCATGGTATATACCACAGCTTGTTAATCCGTTCCTGGGTTGGTGGGCATTTAGTTGTTTCCACATTTTGGCAATTGTAAATTGAGCTGTGATAAACAATCTAGTGCAAATGTCCTTATGATAAAATGATTTTTTTTCCCTGGGTAGATGCCTGGTAGTGGGATTGTGGGATCAAATGGGAGCTCTAATTTGAGTTTCTTGAGGATTCACCATACTTCCTTCCAAAGAGGTTGTATTAGTTTGCAGTCCCACCAACAGTGTAAAATGTTCCTTTCTCTCCCCATCCACGCCAGCATCCCAGCTCAATATTTTCATAATTAACTTGAATATGGGTACCGATGCATACACATCAAAGGAAGCCATTGATTGACACAAAACTGGACAGAACTAATATGTCAGGGAACTATTGTTTGATTGACTTGGGGTCCAGAAAGCCTTCAACAAGCTGGGACTGCTTTAATAACATGAAGAGACTAAAGACAAATATTAGATTCCCCTACCTGCACAGGTACAGGATGGCTTAGCTGTAGAGTACCTGATAATCAGCTCAGCCGATGGCAATGTTACTGGCCTAGGCCCCACTTATAGAAATATAGTGCCCAGACTAAGAAAAGAGTGTCCTTGCTCTAGTCTGTCTTAACAGCCCCAGCTGGGAGCGTTGTGTCCCAGTGTGAGCTCCACACTTGAGAAATTGGTAAACTAAAGTTTGCATAGGAGAGTGAGCCAGATGGCAAGGGAAATTGGAAACCTCACTGGAGGACCTGGGACTGATGGCCCAGGGAGTGAGAGCCCAGGTGAGCCACAACCACTGCCCCTGAGTGCTCAGGGCTGCTGCAGAAAGAGAGAACACATTAGCAGGCAGCTGTGTGTGTGACTCTATACAGAAGCAACAGTGTCAAGAACCGTGGAGCTTCCAGAGGCTCAGCGAGAGAGAGATTACCCTCAGGTATGGAAAACAGGTTGGGAGCATTGGAGCTGGAGGATGGGTCGTGTTTGGGTTTAAGGAATTGTTTTGGAAAGGGGAAGAAGACGCACCTCAGGAGGGAGCACGATATGAGTACAGTGTGGGCATGGGAACAGCAGCAGTCCCCAAGCTGGGCTGTTACTGCAGCAAATATAAGGTGGCATAGACCTAGCCATCAGGGAGGAAGCTCAATGTACTAATACACTTGCAGGGCAAAAATGGCATATGATTAGAGGGGAATTTATGGGCTGCTTTTCTTGGGGTTTCCAGGTTAAAACCAACTTTTAAATGGTGTGATTCTTTCTCTTCCTCCACGGCCCTGTTTGAACACCATCACTGATTCTATCCGTCATCCTCCCCTGGCCCAGCTGAGGGGCTTCTGGGCTCCCTCTGCCCCCTGCCCATCCCACTGCACCACATTGTTGAGTCAATACATCAGGCCTGTTTGTGAACATTTGTATGTTCTTTTCGAAGCCAGGGGACATTACATTTACTCGAATCTCTATTCCCAGAGCCCAACACCATGCCTGGCACCAAGCAGATGCCCAATATGTGTTTGCTGAATGACGGAATAACTTCTAAAGTTTTACCAAGAATTGCAAAATCTGAGAATCACATTCAGAATCACAATCGAGCGTGACATCTTTTCTTTCTTCTTTCTGAGCCGTAGAAAGAAGAGGTGGGCGAGGCCCTCCACGAAGTTGATTTTCAGCAGCTAAAGATTGAGAATGCTCAATTTTTAGAGACAATTGAAGGAAGGAATCAAGAACTGATCCAGCTAAAGCTGGTGTCTGGGAACACCCTGCAGGTCCTCAACACTTACAAAGTAAGGCCATCTCCAAGCCAAAGCCCCGTCCAGGCTTCTCACTGTCCTGCTGCTGCCTGATTTCTCTGCACTCAACAGAGCCATCCCCCCTAACATTCTCTAATGCTCCCACAACCCTGGATGTACCTGAGAACCACCTTTCTCTAATTTTTAAAAAATTTGCCAGCGCCAGTCCCACCCTGACCAATCGAATTAGGGGCTGAGGGTCACACACCCTGTTCTGGTTGTTGCTGGTTTTTTTTTTTTTTTTTTTTTTTTTTTTGAGACAGAGCCTCAAGCTGTCCCCCTGGGTAGAGTACTGTGGCATTACAGCTCACAGCAACCTCCAACTCCTGGGCTCAAGCGAGTCTCTTGCCTCCGCCTCCCAAGTGGCTGGGACCACAGGCGCCCGCCACAACGCCTGGCTATTTTTCGGTTTCAGCTGTCATTGTTGTTTGGCGGGTCTGGGCTGGGGATTTGAACCCGCCACCTTAGGTGTACATGGCTGGCGCCTTAGCCGGTTGAGCTATAGGAGCCGAGCCGTTGCTGTTGTTTTTAACTTCCCAAGTGATTTTACGCATGGTGAATTTTGAGAACTAATCACATTTAGGCCCTGTTTAATTGAGGCATATATATAAGTACTTCCCACCGTAAGACCCTGCAAAGGAAAAAGTCTTAGCTATAAATCAGAAAACTACCAAATGATTTATCCTCCAAGTGGAACCCTTTTGAGAGAGAAAAGAGACACTATTAATAAGTAAACCAGGCCTACAGGCCTGAATAAGGCCTATCCTCAGCAGACCAGACCATCTGGTCACTCTATAGCAATCATCTAATGCAGTGGCAGCATACTACAGGCCAGCATATCCCACCTACGGGTCTGTGGGCCAAGAGTTGTTTTTGCAGAACTTTCACAGCTGATTTGGTGATAGAGAACACTAGCTTTGAAACCAAATTAAGCAAAATTGGTTTTTGCCCCAGAAAGTCTATTCTCATTAGTAGACCTGTATTCCAGATATTATACTTAAATATTATATTTTGAATTTAACCAATAAAACACTTATTAGAAATTAGTATTCTTTTCTCTTTTTAATATAAGTAACTACCTAATAGCCACAATTTTGTCTCTGAGCCTATAAAACCTAAAATCGTTACTCTCTGGTCTTTTACAAAAATTTGCTGAGCCCTGGCCTAGTGCCCAGCTGGCAGTGGTGGCTATGGATTTAGGTAGCTCAGAGATGGGCTTCATTTGGCCTACACAGTTTAAAAATGTGAAAGTGAATTATTTAGACCGGGTTTATGTTTGTTCAACATTTTCCTTTTATAGGAAAAAACTGAGGCTCAAAGATACAGACTGTCAAATTCAAGCAACAGAGCTAGACTCCTTGTCCAATGTGTCCCACTCAACTGCTTTCCCCTGGTGTCAAGTACATAGGAACTACTGTGCTAGCATTCTGAACTTCGTGTGCCATAAACATCCAACAGATCGTCTACTTTTAGCTTATATCATCAGTACCTAGCTTATTTGATCACTGTATTTGGAGATAAAGGCAATTCCTGTGACTTCCAGGCCCTGGTTGCCTGGAGAGTGAGTAGTACATGGTTAGATCACACTGGACCTTGACCCGACCCTGCAGAATCAGTTAAGTGGCACAGGGCCTGTCTGGTATCATGGGGTAAAGCCAAGGATTTTGGAAGTAGATCTACTTATTTATAAAATGAAAGGGCGGCGCCTGTGGCTCAAAGGAGTAGGGCACGGGCCCCATATACTGGAGGTGGCGGGTTCAAAGCCAGCCCTGGCCAAAAATGGAAAATAAATAAATAAATAAATAAAATGAAAGTACCAGATTACAGGCCTTGAGCTCTTTAGGATGAGTCTAAATACAATTCAGATTGCTTGCCACACCTGAGCACCAGCGACCAGGCTACAGTGGGCAGAATGAGAGCGATTCCATGTCTCAAGTGTCTGGTCTCCTGGGGGAAACGGAGGCAGAGCGACTGTGAGCTGTGGAGTCCGACCTCACCTGGTTTTGAGCGGCAGCTTTTCTAGGGAACATGCTCCATCTGGGCAAGATTCTTCATCTCTCAGGGGCAAGTTTTTGTGTCTTGCCACCAGGATGGAGCTCTGTCTAGTCTGTGCTGTGTTTTCTGTGCCAGGACAGGGCCTGGCTAAAGCAGATGCTCAGCCAGTGTTTTAGATCCGTAGCTGTTGGCTCAGGCGTGGGTGTGGTGGAGGGGGGCGGCCAGGCCACGTCAATATAAACATCAAACATCCACGTGCAAGAGGCCTTGTTAACATCAGGCAGAGTAACTTTCCTCCATTGCCCACAGTAGCCACACCCGCAGGCTGGCACAGGGCTGAGTGCCACGGGCACAGCATTAGACAAGATGGACATGGTCTCTTCTTTTCTGCAAGTTTTATGAGTGAACCTAAGTCAAGGTGGCACCTTTTTCTCCGACTTTATGCCCTTAAGCTCTTCCTGGTGGAGTCTGGTAGAATACAGCTGTGATGAGTCACCCTTGACTGAATGTAAACTAGTGACCTGATGTCTTGTGGTAGGTAGAATTCTGATACATCCCAAGACTTGCTGCCCCCTGGTGTATATACCCCCGCCAGGACTATGAATATGAGGGGTTCTGTTATTTGGTTCTGTTCTGTTCTATGAATAGGTTATAGTCGATGACACAATTGGACCTAAGAAAGGGAGATTACCCATGTGGTTCTGACCTAATCACACAGCCCTTTGAAAGCACAGAGTTTCTCTGGAAGAGGAATTTGCTGGGTAACAAGTTCTCCATTGGTGGCTGGAAGGCAGAGGGGTCTCTAAGAGCTGACAGTAATCTCCTGCTGACAGGAGAAAGAAAATGGTGATCTAGGTCCTACACCTTCAGGGAAATGCGTTCTGCCATCGAGTGAGCTTGGAAAAGGACCCTGAGACCCTGACAAGAACCAGTCTTGACAGACATTTCAGCCTGGCGGGCCATGGGCAAACAGTTCCTTGTGCAGCAATGGAAAGTGAATGCATGCCTTTTCAGAATTGGCCTCTACCTCAAGTGACTGAAGGTCCCACTCGGTGTCACCAATTCAGCTCTCATCACACCGTTGTGATGGCCCTGCCCAACAGAGTCAGTGATGGCCTTGGTGTTACCCTTGTAGTTTCATTCCTTCCTGCCCTGCTTCCCCCACCCGCAGCTGACTCCTCTCAATCTGGTCTCTTATTCACTTTTGCTTTCTGGAGCACTGCAATTTTCATGCCTCACACAGAGCAGAAAATGAATCTTAAAGAAGTGGGGCTGAAAGGAGTGGGGAGGGGAATGGTTCTGGGTGCCTAAAGGTCCCCTAGGTAGGTGGCTCCAGGCTGTTTTGCTACATCGAAGTTTTGCTGTCTGGGACGATGCACCTGCAGCCTCCTCCGCTTCCTGCCTTCACGTTGACCGTGGCCCTGTGGTTTCTCACCTGGTTTCCCAGCTCCTCTTAGACCTGCCTCTCTTGGCTCTTTCCTTTGTTTAGAATGTTCTCTCTTACCCCTTCACCTGTACATATCGACTCCACCTTCCAGCATTTCTTCTGCAGGAAAACCTCTTTTGGATCAAATGTAGAAAGGTTCTGGGTCTTGTTCAGTGTATCTCTAGTAAGCAATGGGGTAGGATCTGGATCCTGATGGGTCTGACCTCTCTGCCTCTCCAGCTGAAGGCAACACCCCTGGTGTTCTCCCCTCCCTTGCCACGTCTCAGACAGCAATATATTCTGAAAATCTAGGCAACTGTGAGAAGGGCAGCCTGAAGTTCCTGGATAGTCCTGCTTTTCTTTAATAAGGAGCTGCCTGTCCTTCCCGCAGCTCCACAAGGTCATCTTAGCTCAAGACTTGATGTGTTGTTGTATTTCAGAGCAAGCTCCAACGAGCATTGGAAATGAATGTCAATCTGGACAAGGAGATCTTGATGAGAAATGAGCTACTTGAAAAGATTGAAAGAGAAACCCTACAAGTGGAGGAGGTAGGAGGAGAGGGCAAAACATACCATTTCTGATATTTGTCTGTTTTTGTCTACGAGGACTTGAGTCAGTGTCTATCAAGATTCAAGCCACTTTGTTGTTTACCTGGAAGAGCCCAGACCATAGAAATCAAAATAACTATCAAAGCAGAAAGTTGCATCTGGAGACCTGTGTTGCTTTTTTTTTTTTTTTTTTTTTTT